TTCTAAGCTTCATTTTTCCATACTTCATTTTTCCGGGCCTTTTTGTACTGCCTAAACGGGAGGATGATTTCTTTGCTTGCCCCAGTTTACTTTGCCCACTTCCACGCTCATCTGATCGTAAAACACTTTGAACTGGACAGGGAGGTTGTTTCGATAGAGACGATGATGAGGTCGCCGACACTCCGCGCTGCGTTGATTATACTTATGTCTGCACAGACCAACCAGTGGATACCTGTAAATCTATCAGTGGACTGGATCCAATTCATAATTATATGGGATGTACGTATCATTCTCGACAGCTGAACTCTTGAGCTCTTTTGATCAAAACAAAGAATTAGTTAGATTCGCGACACGGTTGAGGATTAAAACCTCCCATCTTAATTATATTTACGTTTACTTTTTTTTCGTTCAGTCATTTACTTGTGTGTAGGATAAGAGGATACGTTTAGCTCTTGAACCTGTTGGGGTGATGAGCACCTAACCCCGCTTTCAGGTATCACCCCTCAATCAAACCAAGTTAAGGTCATGAGAACAAAAGAAATGAAACAAAAGAAGCTCTTGATTGTTCAACAAATTCTCTACATCAGTATTATTGAAATACATAGAGAACAGTATGGAGAATATTTCTATTGATGTTGGGATGTAAAGAGCTAGTAATTGAATCGAGAGTGTAATCGAAAGTGAGTTACGTAAGGTCTTTTTTCTACCATTTTAAAATACAAATCAGAAGAATGTTTCGTTCTTTTAAAAAGTTCTTTCAAAAAACAACGGCTTTTTTTCGTGATATTGATAACAGTAAAACTCTTATTAAAATGGCTTCATATGCAGGTAACATGGTAGATAAAGAAACCTCAATAATAATAATAACAATAATAATAACATCAAAAATTATAATAATAAGCCTCATATGCAGGTAAAATGGTTTTTGCGTTATTTCAAAAATTGATTGCTTACGGTTGCACTGTATTTGTTTTCAAGACATGGAGGACGAATGCATGTATGAATTTACTCCGGGGCAGATATCTAAAATGGAAAAAGATGTCAAGAAATACAGACCTACCCTGATGAAAAACATCTATAGTAAGTTTCAGTGGTTTAATTTTGTTTCTGTCTCGTTTTTACTCTTTAAGTTCCAATCTGCTTATGATTTCATGCACTCTCTCAAACTATCGTCTAAATAAAGCATCACATAAACTATTTTTCTCATTACGCAGTCAACTGTGCACATGGGCCCGGTTGTATAAAGGGCGGATAACGCTATGCAACGGATAAATCGCTATCCAGCGGATAAGTAATAGCAAAACGGATAGCGTTATCCACCAGATAGAGTTTTATCCAGTGGATAGTGTTATCCAACCTTCGAACAACCAGGGCCCGATGTATTGCTTAACTTTCAGACTGCATGACAATATGTGGTATTTCAAAGCATTATGATTTGTTGTAATAAGCTGTGGTTGGAGCATTCAATGTTTTCACACCTTATTGTTCTGTGATTCTGACAGATGGGGTGTTTGCCGATCACAATTTTTACACCTCTCCCTACTCTGGTAAAATTACCAAATTTTTTGAAAATCCTTTACTCTCGTGAGTAGGGAGAGGCATTAGGAGAGTTAAGATCTTGACCTTCACGGCTAAAACGCGCCACAAGAAAAACTTCAAAGTCTGCAACTTAGACCACTTAATTAAATCAAGACTCTAGAATAGCTCTGTTACCAAGTTTGATGAAATTCGTACGTAGCTCATGAATCGAAGTCTTTTCGAGTGATATGGTCGGCGTAAAGCTGTTTGTCTTAATTCTGAAAACTAATAATTATAATTACTTACAAAACTTGATTTTACTCATTCTCAAGGACCTTGCAAAATCGATGCTGCATTCCGCTGGTCAAACGGCTATATTTATTTCTTCCTCGGATCAAACTACTACCGTTACAATGAGAATCTTCCTGGTATCGATTCAAGCTACCCTCGACCTATCAGCGACCATTGGAAGGGCGTCCCTTCCTCCATAAACGGCGTTTTTCGTTACGCAAATGGCCTCACGTACTTCTTCAAAGGAAACCAGTACTATCGGTTTAACGACACATCACTGAAGGTGGACGAAGGATATCCCCGACTTATGAGTGACTACTGGGTTGGAGTGCCGAGCGATATAGATGACGTCATTAGGTAAGATATTTTCAGTTACAATTCAAATTTTTTCAGCAATTTTCAAGGCGAGTTCCTGGAAAAAAATTTTGTATGCATTACAGAAGCTTGCATATCATGGTAAACCCTGATTTTACCCGCATTTGGGTGCGTTTGCGCCTCATGTACAAATCTTTGAGTATCAACCTAACAAACTAAACCTAGAATGAAGAGTAACAACTAATCTTTATGGCTCAACTTCTGTAGTTGGAGAGACTTCAACTCTCGGATTTTTTTTTTTTACTTTAGGTAATTATTTGTCATTTTACTCAAGCCATCCATCTCAATACGGTGCACTTTTTAAATGACCTTCATGTCATATGGGTTGGCCTCTCAATATTTCAATCTACATTTTGCGACTTTGTTCAATTGTTCATTTGTTCGTTTATTTACTCAATCATTTTAGTCATTCGAATGGTTTCACCTACTTCTTCAAAGGAGCACAATATTACAGATTTAACCCACGCACCCTCAGAGTGGACCCTGGGTATCCGCGCTCTGTGAGCTCCTACTGGAATGGACTCCCGAGCGACATTGAAGGCGCCTTACAATGGTACAATGGGGGCGTTTTCGCGTTTAAGGATACGCAGCACTGGTTATTCGTGCACGGCGAGCAATCAATAAGTGTTCCTTCCAGTTACCCTGAGTCAATAACTCAGTGGTGGAGCAGTGAACCAGACTTTACTCACTACACAGTGTTCAGGTCAAACTCTCTAATTAAAAAATATCTTGAACAATCGGCTTCTCATGTTTGTATAACATTTGCGTTATGATATATATTGCAATGAACTTGTAATAAATTTGTAATAGACTCGTAATGCAAATCCCTTGTAACTAAAATTATTATTTAATTCCTTTGCCTCTCTTAGACACTTGAATGGCTATACTTTCTTCTTCAAAGGAAACAGCTATTGGCGCTACAATGAACAGTTTAGCCAAGTCGATATCGGATATCCACGCGGCTTGGCAGCCTGGGAAGGAGTGCCAGCGGATGTGGACGCCGCGTTTCTATGGAGCGATGGATACGTGTACTTTTTTAAGGGAAACCTTTTCTTCCGGTATGATAGTGGCCAACGGAAAGTCCAAGATGGATATCCACGAGAAATAAGCTCGTTTTGGAAAGGAATACCCAACAATGTCGACGCCGTTTTCAGGTAATGACACCAAGAGCGAGTCACGAGATTCTATCCGTTGATTCTTTGAAAGGATCTCTGCGCGGATATCCTGTCCTATGAGTGGTCAAGTAAATACAAGCGCACACTCGAGCGCACGCATACGCACTCGCTTTTCGTTTCTTGATCAGTTCAGCACTTGATTAGACAAATCACTGGGCTTAGAGCAATTTCAATTGAGTGTCGAGCTTAACTCGGGATTGCGTTGGTTTTAGTTAACTTTTCTATGCGATTGGTCCAGAAAACTCGCTCCACCCTATCAACCAATCAGATGCAAAATTAAAAATCAATCGCAACTTGAGCAGTCGCATTTTGATTTCATTTTCACTTTCATTTTGGGTTCTTATTAGTTAATGAAAATGCAAAACTTTGTTCTGATTGGTCGATATGTATACTTTGGTTTTACGACACGCAATTGAAAAACCGCTCAAGTGAAGCGAAGCCAAGTACGATCCAAAACTACTTTCGACACCTTATTAAACGTTACTATAATACATTTGCAAGGGAAGTTGTCTTTAGTACTTGAGGAGTCTTAGCCGGACCTCGACCTCTCTTTGAAAATTCTAGCTTAAGTTTAGCGCAGCGGTCATTTGGAATCTTATTGATTACTCTCCATACTGAACTGAACTAGTTGCGTTTCGTTTAATATATATATTTGAGTGTATTTTCATCTTATCAACATAAAATTTGTAGATTCCTTTAATTTGGAGATTTTCCTGCGCGTCCCGAATAAAGCGAATCAACTACTGCATACTCGGATATGCAGAGCGAGAAATTTCGATTTTGATCCTGAACTGGAAATCCTTTCATTTGTTTTAGATACATAGATGGTCTCACATACTTCTTCAAAGACTCGAATTATTTCCGCTTCAATGACACCTCCCGAGAAGTAGACCCAGGCTTCCCGCGGCTCATAGCCTCGACTTGGAGCGGCGTCCCGGATGACCCCGATACTGTGTTTTCAAACGAAAATGGCTACACATACTTCTTCAAGGAAAACCTCTTTTACCGTTTTAATTCTACAGCGGGACAAGTTGATGCTGGGTTTCCCAAGTCGATAGCATTGTGGAGGGGAATTCTTTATCAGCCTTAAAAGAAAATATAATTGTGCACTAAGAGCTATAAGTTGTAAGAATAAATGCCAAACGTCAGAAGATTAGTTTCATCTGCAACATTCTAGGGGGAAGCAAACAGGGAGGGGTGGTGGGGGGTTCTGATCAAGTTTCACTAATTTTTTAAAAACACTTCACGCGCACTTCACGCGCCACGAATTTAACAGGGAAATCTGAAACTCTCTCATCTTGTGTATGAGTTTTCAGGGAAATCTTGAGGTTTTCACGAAATGAAAGATAATATTCGCAGTTCACTTATATTTCAGGAGGCAAACACCCCTCACGCAGGTCCATAACTTCACAAATCACGTTCGCGCTCCCGTTCAATCCACGCTTCACATGTCTATTTTGGCCTCAAACACGCGTCACTTATAAACTCTTTGCAAACCTCTTCCTAGCTAACGTGCGCAGCTATCATTTTTTTTTACTCCCCCAGAGGTAATCTCGTCGTGACTAAGGAGGGGAGGAAGCGTCGAAGTTCTGACCTTTCCAGGAAAAGACCCAACACACCTCAAAATGGCGACTTTAAAACTACCGGTATTTCTTTTTGTGCAAAAACACACTATCCATAAAATACAAACGCTTATACTGTGACAGTTATAAATAGTTACCACAACTGACTTGACAGTGCTTTAACACGTAACTAAAAGTAACATTACGAGGAAAGAACAGCTCTCTTGGCGATACGGCTCAGGTTCAGTGTCTTTACTTCATGTACTTGTCCTCGTGCTCTGCCAAAAGTTTTGCTGAAGATTTGGCGTCGTAAAATAGCTCGTTTATTTCTTCCACATCCTGTCTGTTGATACTTGAACGACCTGTGTGACACAAAAACGGAAGGTTAAGTGTTACGAACACAGCAACCCCTTGATAGACGTAGCGTGTCCCAGGTTTCTTGGCACCAAACTACTACGAGTACCACTACTTCCTCAGGCTAATCTATTACAGGTGAACGCTCAGCATTTCATCAGATATCCCTGAAATTTTAGTGGGACCTACGGTAGTTATGTTAAGAGAAGCGTTCTGAGAGGAAAGCGTTACAACTAAGGACACAAAATAGCGGCCTCTCGATACCCGTTTCGATCCGGAACCCAGGATACCGTACCATACAGCTACCGTGAAGCCAACAACACATTTAAAAAGGCGTAAGGAACGTGAGGTGCTCTTAACTGAATTTTGCAATACTACAGGAGTCAATCTTGCCTGCAGAACAAGCGTAGCATGTTTGCGTTGTTCAGGCGACCTAAGGCAAACGCGAGGCGGGTGCGAAGCGCGAGTGACGCGCTAAGGAAGGAACACAAAACAGCTCTCTTCCCACTCTTCGCACTTGTCTCGCGCTTGCCTCCATTCGAATGAAAAACGAAAAAAAAGGACGTCTCATTTATTTATTCATTCAGTTAATTATCCATTATCAATCTATCCTGTAATATGGACTTACCATTGATGCGAGCGAGTAGGTTAGACGGCGTCAGCAACTGAACTGCATATCTGATGATCAAAACGGAAAGGAGAGCAACTCCTTCAAATCTTGTTTATTTGAAAAACTTTGATACATGTAATAAGCTGTCTTGTAGATCATTCTCTTTGAACTAATACTTCGCCTTTACGTGGTATTCCATTCTGAAGAGTCTATTTCAAAGCTTAATTCTTCTCTTCCTTTCAACACTACTACACGTATACTACTTCCCCGGACATGTCGATTTCCTTTCCACACACAGATATTTATTTAAACGTTTCTAGTGGTTTCAACAGATCTTTTAACTTTTACTGAAGCTTCTACACAAACCCAACACAATGTTTGGGTAAGTTCAGATACGTTCTAGAATTCGATTGTTCTATAGATTCGCTTTTTTAATCATTTCATTCGCATGAAACTTTAGGAATTTTTAAGAGCGCAAGGTTCACATCTGAGAGTGTTTTCTTAATCTCTAAATTAATCAATCTCCAAATTAGCCGTTAGTGTTTCAGATTGTTTAATACACGGTCAAATGTGCCTCAATCTCACATAGAGATAAAGGTGTGATGTCAACTCCAAAGTCAAAAAAACACAATCAAATGAGAATTTGTGCGCGTAGCTGTTTCTAAATCAGTGGTAATAGTAGTTGTAGTTACTAGAAGTTTATACAGCGAGGCAGTGGTGGACTAAAAAAAAAGTGATCCAAGACTCTTAGTAACCTTCACTCAACGAGTTTTCTCAAGTTATCTTCCCCCAACGTGCCAGCATGATTATATGCACATAACTTAACCGTTATTCAGGAATTCAACACATAATTTCTATCTCGTTCCTTCCGAAATCTTACCTCAAAGTAGTTTTGGTGCCGATTTCTCCTAAAAGGCTCAGCGATTCATCATCAGCTTGAATGTTCTCCGTCTGGGCTCGAATGCGAATAATTTGAACCATTTCTTCTTGTGAGTAGGGTAGGGTACGAATGATCATAAGTCGATCCAACAGATCCAGGGGTATCCCGTGGGGAGCACTTATTTCCGTGCCTCTGAGAAGCAACAGAACAAACAAATACATAAGAAAAGTCTGCACACATCCGGATGAGATGCTAAATCGCTTATAGCCCTCTCCCCACCCCGGTCAGATTTCCCGGACAATTGCCTCACGGAAACTTCAAAGTGAAGAGCGGTACACTGTACCAATGATGAGAGTAAATGTGAAGTGTCTTGCCGAAGAACAGAACAATTAAGGGAACAGTTACAATTTCAAGGAGACAGGCAATTTTGGGTGTGGAGGATCAAAATACACCTAACAGTCTGAGCTCTCACCGCAGGTAATACCCACAGAAAGATTCGCATTGGCAGCAAAAGAGACGAGCTTGAAAATATCAATTACGTTTCCTATGCCCATTATAACTGTGCTAATATTTTCTGTGGTATACAGCACCTCTAAATACTATTAATTTTTTTTATTTCATATGAACTCCTTGTTATTATAGTACCTTATTGTGCAGTTTCCTCGATTTGTTGCAAATATAACAATCGGGGAAATTGTCGACTCTAAAGCTCGGTGTAAATAAGTAAAGCATTCGATATCCAACATGTGAACCTGACAACAGAAGAAAAAACAAGCGATGTCAAAAATGTACACGTTGCATACATGTATATGCATAAACAAACCAAGAGTCACACGTATACACGTACAGCGGCACAACACTGACTGTCATGCGCTGTACACCATCAAAAACAAAGAAAAATACGAAATTACCTCATCGACGAACAACACGCCAGGAACGAGTTCAGCGACTCCTTGATCGATGTATTTATTTACCACCTACAACACAGATGAATTAACTAATTACCAATCAAATACCACCATTATCTTGCAATAATTTAAGTTGCCTCCGACTCTCCTTCATACATTTCTAAGAACTTTGGAAAAATATTTATTTTCATCTGCTGATTGTAATATAAAAAAAAAATTGAAAACTTTAGTCACTGAACTCGTCTTTGAGTAGGAGAAACACAAGTCAAATTGACATAAAAATGAAGCTTGCATAAGTGCAGTGATCCTCTGTTCCTACCAGCTTTATTCTGCTTACCTTATTAATCTCTTTTCTTAATTTGTCTAAGGAAAAAAGCAAAAAAAGTGTTACAGATTTATGTATATGTAACCTAAAAAAAATATTAAAACAAAAAAATTTTAAAACATTTGCAAACACTGTATAATATGCCTCACCAGTGATTTCTGTCTTCTTAGGCTTCATCAGCTGTCCCATCATGGAAAGAATATCTTGTCCTCCCTATGAATAGTAATCATTCAATAATCATTTCGAATTATTAGAGACTTAAGCTCAAGAAGCAAAACTTGGACCTTACATGTACAGTATGGTAATTTCTGCGCATGTTCAAAAGTATGTGAGGTCAGTTTATAATTTATAAAGGGAGCATCAATTTTTTCTAGTTTTAAAAGAATGTTACTGAGATTTCTCCTTTAAATCAAGAAAAAAATTTACCTTTATACAATAAGCTCTCCTCCTTATTTACAATGTTCATAGAAATAAAAGTTACAAAAGGTACATGCACATATAAATGGCAAAATTTTATTTCATTTTTTTTAATAAAAAGTTTAAATTTGACCTACAATTGTAAATACTCTCTGAAGCATACATGTGCTGTACTTTTCCTTGAAGGTAAAACCGTGTCCACAAAGGCCCATTGAATCATTTCCTCTTTACCAACAGTGTTTAAAATTGTCCCCTCTCAGTACACAGATTAACATTCAGGTTACACTGTGCATGTGTGAGTTTCTATTTACACTTTACCTGTGGTCTTGCATTTGCCACATCGAGGTCATGCAGAGTTACATCCTGCACAATTTCCTTCTTCTTGTGGACATCACCTTTGGGTAGTGGTACATACTCCTCAGCCTCAAGATCAAATTCTGTGGCAAAGGTGTCAGATCTCCCTTGACGCTGGGATCGAAAAGTTAATCATAAATCACTCAAGGTTAAAACAAACTTATGTAAGATACATGTACCTGTACAAGAATCTCATAAAACTGTTACTTTCCTCCTCCTACTAACATAGAAATAAATTTAAAACTCTTCAATTTGTTAAGAGTGAGCATAATCAAGAAATTTTAATGAAATACATTTGTGCAACCATAAAAAAAAAAATTTATCACCAAAATCATTTCTACCCACTCAGCAACCAATTTGACTCAATTCTGGACAGTAAAACTAGCCAAGTATTAATGTAAAAAAACATTTATTGATAGGAAAATATTCATATTGAGAAAATAATATTCTACCATTCTGGGAAATCAAAAAATACATGATGCATATTTTCAAAGAGGTGTAAGCTTCTCAAACCTTGACTGCTCCACTGTTTGCCTCAATGTAAATCACATCACCGACTTCTACCTTTTCCTTCTGAAGGCTTTCATATATTGATGGATCCAGCTACAATAAATTGGTAAAGAAATAATGAAAAGAGAAAGTGATAATCAAAAAAAGGAAAGAAATTGAATAGGGAACAATAAAAAAATAAAGGAATAAGAGTAGGATGACATGTTTCTCAGCTGAACTTGCCTTAAGCTGCTTAGTTCCTTTGGCTGTTTTTAGTCCTATCACCACATGACTGACAGTTTTACCATAACCTGTAAAAAGATAAAACACTTTTCAGGACCATGTATTAGTTTTCTGCCCTAAAACAATCACATTCAGCAGGGAAAAAATCTTATCTCCATCACTGTCTGCATATTTGGAAGATGAAAGAATGCAGAAGAGTTATCTGTGCCATCAGAGCTGGCAAAAATGACCCAACTTGCCTATTCACCTATCCCTTAAACTCCCATGAGTGACCGGGACAGAATTTTTCCTTAGAATATCTATACAATATCAAGCAGGCAAGTGATGAGAATAAAGAAAATGTCAATTAGGGGATTATTAATTGATCCAAAACCAAATTCCTCCAACTAACATTATAAGAATTGCATAGTAAACAGTAAGGAGGAAATTAGAAAACAGTACTTACATCACCTTGGCTGATTTCCTAGCAAGCCCAATGAAAAGTAAAGTTTAGCACATGTTACTTACCTCCCATAGGGTTCTCTGTTTCACAGGGTGTCAGCTCAGTCACCTGTCACAAAAACCATTAGAAAATTCTTTTGTACATTACAATTTGTTTACATTTTGCCATTTAGGAAGAACACCTATAGCATAAGTGCATTACTACTGTCAATAACACTGACAACCTTAGAACAATGCTAAATCAGGTAAATATTTCACCTCTCCTTCATAAACTTCCTTTGTTTCCTTGATCCTCAAGCCTGTTCATGAAAAAGAAATACAAAAT